GAGTCATAATTTCGATTTAGACATGTACGTTTTGAATAAAAAACCAAAAATATTTTGGGACTAAATTTTCAGTGTTAACTCCCTGCTCCTAAACTCATCGCGCGTGTTCAAGCCCGGTTTCTCTTTCCTGATATGTATTGCCTCTAGTGTTAGCAATTTTGTTTGGTTGTTTGACCTATCTATAATTTCCCAACTAAGATCTGCGCTATTTCCCTCAAGTTGGCATTGCTGAAGGTGGAGGCCTACCGGTGAGTCTGCTTTCCTATGTTCCTCAATTCTAGTGGTCAAATGTCGAACAGTTTGTCCGACATAGGTGGAAGTGCATCCACTACATGACAGTTTATAAACCACTCTTGACTTGAGGTCATTAGAAAATGCTGACTTCAGTGATGGTAAACATGATTGTAGTTTTCTTGTGGTGAAAACCACTTGAACGTTCGTTAATTTTCGTAACCTGTTAGCAAAATATTGGCTCTGGTTACCTCTATATTGCACCATCAGCATTGGGGGCTTTTCATCCTTTGGTGATTGAACTGACAAACCCCTGTCACTATCCAGGGGCTTGCCTTTACCCTCGATGATCTTGCACAAGGCGTCTGAAGCCACCTTTGCGGACCAATTTTCAGGGTACTGATTTGTCAGCCATTGCGCCCTATTAGTTTCCATAGCCTTATCAAATTGCTCCCAGCTAGATGTACTCCTAAAAACCCTGTGTACAGTGCCTTGGATAACACTACGCTTATACTGAGTTGGGGCGCAGCTTCTATAGTTCAGTATAGTCCCTGTATCTGTTGGTTTTTGATACCAACTGCAAGTTACACGCCTATCCTGCGATATATTTATGTTCAAATCCAGGAACGGCAAATTCCCCTCCGAATTAGTTTTCTCTAGAGTGAACTGCAAATTTGGATGAAGAGAATTGGCGGCATCGAGAAGACAACTCGGCTCCCCTCTGACTGTTCTAACAATGTCATCCACATACCTGAGGAACAATTTCACCTGGGGAGTATCCTTCTCCTTGTTCTTAGCTCGGCAGCAGCTTTCACAGTACCAGACTATCTCGGTTATTGATGCGTATACGTCATCGGATATTTTTCCGCATTTTAGATGATACCAGTTTCGGCAACTCTCGCATTCAACCCCCTTTGATCTATATGTGACTTTCCTGCTGCAACATGGGCACAAGCCGTTTTTGTCATTAATTTGCTGTACCCCCGTTCCCACCGGTATTTGTTGTCGTAGAGCAAATTCGTATTCTTTCAGCCATAAGTTTGCCAGAATTACAGCGAGGGACGCTCCCATTGCTAAACCATCAACTTGTACATACCATGAATCATTACACTTGAAATATACTTTGCTGACCGCCATATTCAAAAGCCTTTTCATGGTTGCTCTTTGAATTTCAGGAGGAGACTCCTGGCTGTACAGCTTCTGTAAAGCAATTTCAATTGCCTCCTTCAGGGGAACGTTGGTGTACAAACTTTTCACATCAAGAGATATTATGGTTTCATCCGGATCTAGAGCAATGTTTTCTATTTTTTCTCTAGCCTCTTTAGTATTGGTTTCTATATTTGCTCCATCGATGTTGTCAAAAAACTTCGCAAGCATTTTGTTAAGATTCTCATACGAGCTGCCGGGAAGTGATAGTACAGGTCGTAGGGGTGTCTCATCCTTGTGTACCTTAGCTAAACCGTACAAACGGGCGGGTTGCCCCCCTGTTGATCGTATCTTAGAATATAACTGATCACTTATCTCGTCTCTTTTGTTCATGGCTAGTAACTCTTTGTTAAGTTCTTTCTGATAATGATAAAAGAAGATGACAAGTGTTTAAGTCCTTTTCAATTAAAATCGATACGGGTTACGTTTCTTCAATAAGAACACGCAACTCGACAGGAGAAATTATAATATACAAGTGTTACAAATAAAAAAATTTCGTCGAAAGTTATTTTGTCATTTATTGTTCCGAGTACGCAAGCGGCGTTCGCATATTGCCAGGGAGATTCTCTGTTTTAAAAAGCTGCCTGCTCTGGGTTCCTCAGTGCATATGCTTAGGTTCTTACAAAGCTTGCTCAAAAAAAATTATGTGCTGGGGCCGGCAGCGCCCTGAATTTCAAATGCTAGCGGTTGAAAGAGATATCCATCATTTACATGATCTTTATACTTGTCAGTTTTTCGCTCTTCCGCTTCAGCGGCAGCCGTACCAGGGTTACAAACAGACCCGGCATTAATCCTACAAGGAGCTAAGGAACCTACTACTGTTACATCCCACAGAAGCTGTTTACCAACAGCCAATGGAACGAGCGTCAAACCTGATCGGTCCTGTAGAGTTGTCGTGGTTCTAAAACAGACGGAATATGAGTAGAATATAAACTCTGCTTTATAAGGGCATTCAGGTTTGAATGCCTAGAGAATCTCCCTGCACTTTTGAGGCAAGAAGGACCATGCCAACCATCCTCGGTAACGTTTTTTCCGCACACGCATTTATGCCGTTTGCAAATTTTTGAGCCTAATCTCGAAGTCCTTTCGCAATTCTGAGTTGTTGGTTCGACAGTTTTGACCCTAAATTTTTGCACGGGATGACTTTCAACCATTGGGAGCCAAATCTATCTAGGAACGCGTTGAATCTTTTTACGTCCGTTGGTTCGAGTCGTAAAATCAAGTTAGCAATTTCGCTGTCAAAAATTGGCTCCGTCCAAATTTTTTTGGATTTCATTTTCCGGAGCCATTTCAATTTTTCCAAGTACAAACTACCGTTTAAGCGCATCATCATAGGTTCCATCCACATGCTCCAAACCAAAGATTTTGCTCAAGGCATCTTTTGCTCCTACTGCTGAGGCTAAGAAAGCGGGTAAAGCGAGTAGACGAGCGGAAGAAACGTCCAAGCCACCTTTGGCTGCCGGGAGAATTGCTTGTAAAAACTGGTTATCATCCATTTTCACGTTAGTGACCTTGCATAACGAATTTCTTAGAAACTTGTCGTAGTGTTCTAAAAAATTGTTTTGCAAAAAACAAGGGCTCGTACGCAAAAAATATAGGAGTTTTGGCATGGTAAAGCAATTTTCAGGAGGTAAAAACCATAATGGGCGTCTAGTTTGTCAATGACATCCGAGATTTTTTCAAGCTCCTTAATTTTTACCTCGAGCAGTTTTGTTCGGCAAAGTTCGCCGATTGGAGATCCTAAAATGAGGAGTTCTTCTTTTGTTTTTGTTTTTATTTTGGGGCATATTTTTCGAAATTGTGTTAAAATTAAATTATACTGTGTACTAGTAGTCGGTCTCAAAAAACAAAAATCGCACTTCTCAGTCTTTAAGCTCCGGCCGTAAGTTTGTTCCGATTTCAGAATGTTTTTAAGGTCCCGGAGTACTACCTTATAGTAGTCGGCTAAGTTTCCATCATCTAAATACCAGATGTTAATTTTCGACTCCAACTGTTTGACTAGTGTATGAATTGTTCCCGCAAAAAGGGGTGGGGCTTCAGGATCACCTTGCTGAGTTCCGTCTTCTGACATTATGGCAAGCTTCCGTAAAAAAGGTAACTAGGTTTACCATACGCGCAATGGATGTAACTATACAATTCGGGGCGATTTGAATACACATGATTCAGCATTGTTTCTCTATTTAGAGAGTTAAAGGCATTCTTAAAATCTAGTTTTAAAAAAAGAGTGCATTTTGGATTGTTGACGGGTTCAATTAGGTTTCGAAACGAGTGCGCAGCTATTTCTGCTCCTCGTTTGGTACCGCATCCTACCTGTACGTTTCCGAAAAAATTTTGTCGCTCGGAGAGGGCGTTGCTTCCAGCGCATTTAGACGCGATACGTCTCAGCGTGTTGCTTATGGCAATCGGTCTCAACCCTCCGTCTATCTTTATCAGGGCGATAAGCTTTGCGCCAAAAAAGAAAGGTCTTAGGTGTTTGGGTATTTTGCCATCTCCAATGATGTTTATCAGCTTAGTAAGCGATTTCAGAAAAATAAGTCCTGCACTGCCATTCGACTTACTAACAAGATCTTCAAAAATTTGAGGAACTATTTTATCAGGACCTGCTTTGTATAGGCCGAAATCGGTTACGAAAAAATTATCCAACGTTTCTGGATTTGGAGCTGCAAATTTGGCTCGCTGAGGGTGCCTAGACAACAGTTTTTGATAGTTATCAGTTGAAAAAGAGCAATTTTGTCATTCGAAGCAGCAAGCCTTATTCCTCCCTTTACATTTCCTTTATCGAGCTTACTACTTATTAGCTTTATTCTCTGCTCGAGGTCACTCAGAGGCGGGCTTGAAACTTGGGGATGGGGTTTTGGAAGTGACACGTCAACTGCTCGAATTTTTTTATTTATGAAAGAGCTCATGCTTGTGGTCTGTTTGCGTCCACTTCTTTTCGGTTACTCCAAAAAAAACAAGAACAAGGTTAAAAAACCAAGGGAACGCGCGAGTCTTTTGGTACACTCTTGAGTACTCGGACATTTAAAATGGCTGTATTAACATAATTGTCTAGCACTAAATCATTACATATTGTTGCTTTATTAACAGATTTTACATCAACGCATAAAGGACACTGAAACCATTGGGTTTTCACACAACTGATATGATACCAACTAGAACAACAATCACATCTAATACAATTTATCAGTCCTGATGGTTTTAAGCAGTCTTTGCTTGTACACTCTTTGTTGTTTTTCCTCATCTTGACGCAGCATAAAGTTTAAAAAAAGGATTTTGACTGGACTTTAGGGGACTAAACTAACCCATGATAAGCGGTTAGTGGGGATTTTATAAATCAGCAAATAACAAAAATAAAAGACAATTAAATTAATTTAAATTTTAAAATCGAATTATAAAAATCAAAAACAAGGAACAATCTCACCCGAGCTCAGTAGATCCAGCGGTGCACCACCAGACTCTTCAAGCCAGTTCCAGTTTCCCATCTCCCCACAGAAAGCCACTTAACAGACCTGTCTCTAAAATCCCTCAGAGGGCGCTCCACAAACAGGCACAAACATAACAAATCTATTTAATAAGTTTATCACAACAATTAGGCTAAAAGGAGATCCTTAATTACTTGCAAAGAGTAATAATGCAAGTAAACACAGAGAAAAAAACTCACTTTCTTGAACAGATCTCAACTTCCAAATTTCAAAAAAAAAACTAGATGCCCTTTAAGCTCTTTGAATTTCTTGAATAATGTATGATTGGCGCATTTTTGATAACATGAACCCAATTGGAGAAAACTGGATCAATAGGTGAAATTTTTTTTCCGCTGAAAACCTAAACAAAGATAACCGAAGATTGGAAGAGAGTAATGAATGCAAGTGAAAAAATATAAAAATCACTGACTTTCCTGAAAAGATCTGAACTGTCAAACTTCAAACAAAAAAGATGCAATTTAAGCTTTTTGAATTTTTAGAAAAATTTATGATTGGCGCATTTTTGAAAACATAAACCCAACTAAATAAAACTGGATCAATAGGTGAAGTTTTTATTCCGCTGGAAGCCTAAAATTAGCCAATCGCAGATTAGAAAAGAGTTATGTACGCAAGTTAACATTAAAAAAACTGTGACTTTCTTGGAAAAATCTCAATTTTCAAATTTCAAACAAAAAATAGATGCCCTTTAAGCTCTTTGATTTTCTAGAAAAATTTATGAATGGCGCAGTTTTGGTAACTTGAACCAAACTAGAGAAAACTGGATCAATAGGTGAAGTTTTTATTCCGCTGGAAGCCCAAACATTGCCAATCAAAGAATGAAAAAGAGTAATGAACTCAAATAAACATAATAAAACATTGACTTTCTTGAAAAGACCTCAACTTTCGAATTTCAAAGAAAAAAAAGATGCTCTTTAAGTTCTTTGAATTTTTATGATAATAATATGATTGGCGCATTTTTTTTCAACATAAACCCAACTAGAGAAATTTATGACTGGCGCATTTTTGATAACATAAACCCAACTAGATAAAACCGGATCAATAGGTGAAGTTTTCATTCAGCTGGAAGCCTAAAAATAGCCAATCGCAGATTGGAAAAGAGTAATGTACGCAAGTTAACATAAAAAAAAACAGTGAACTTCTTGAAAAAATCTCAATTTTCAAATTTCAAAACAAAAAAAAGATGCCCTTTAAGCTCTTTGATTTTCTAGAAAAATTTATGAATGGCGCAGTTTTGGTAACTTGAACCAAACTAGAGAAAACTGGATCAATAGGTGATGTTTTTATTCCGCTGGAAGCCCAAACATTGCCAATCAAAGAATGAAAAAGAGTAATGAACACAAATAAACATAATAAAACATTGACTTTCTTGAAAAGACCTCTACTTTCGAATTTCAAAGAAAAAAAAGATGCTCTTTAAGCTCTTTGAATTTTTATGATAATAATATGATTGGCGCATTTTTTTTCAACATAAACCCAACTAGAGAAATTTATGACTGGCGCATTTTTGATAACATAAACCCAACTAGATAAAACCGGATCAATAGGTGAAGTTTTCATTCAGCTGGAAGCCTAAAAATAGCCAATCGCAGATTGGAAAAGAGTAATGTACGCAAGTTAACATTAAAAAAAAACAGTGAACTTCTTGAAAAAATCTCAATTTTCAAATTTCAAACAAAAAATAGATGCTCATTAAGCTCTTTGAATTTCTACGATAATAATATGATTGGCGCATTGTTTTCAACATAAACCCAACTAGAGAAATTTATGACTGGCGCATTTTTGATAACATAAACCCAACTAGATAAAACCGGATCAATAGGTGAAGTTTTCATTCAGCTGGAAGCCTAAAAATAGCCAATCGCAGATTGGAAAAGAGTAAGGTACGCAAACTAACATAAAAAAAACAGTGACTTTCTTGCAAAAATCTCAATTTTCAAATTCAAACAAAAAATAGATGCCCTTTAAGTTCTTTAATTTTCTAGAAAAATTTATGATTGGCGCAATGTTGACAACATAAACCCAACTAGGGAAAACTGGATCAGTAGGTGAAATTTTCATTCCGCTAAAGCCTAAACATAGCCAATCGAAGATTGGGAATAAAAAATGTACGCAAGTAAACATAAACAAACAGTGACTTTCTTGGAAAAATCTCAATTTTCAAATTTTAAACAAAAAATAGATGCCTTTTAAGCTTTTTGATTTTCTAAAAAAATTTATGAATGGCGTTTTTTTTTTGATAATATGAACCGAACTAGAGAAAACTGGATCAATAGGTGAAGTTTTCATTCCGCTGGAAGCCTAAACATAGCCAATCAAAGATTGGGAATGAGTAATGTACGCAACTAAGCATAAAAAAACAGTGACTTCCTTGGAAAAATCTCAATTTCCGAATTTCAAACAAAAAATAGATGCCCTTTAAGCTTTTTGATTTTCTGGAAAAAAATATGAATGGCGCTTTTTTGATAAAATGAACAAACTAGAGAAAAATGGATCGATAGGTGAAGTTTTCATTCCGCTGGAAGCCTAAACATAGCCAATCGAAGATTGGGAATGAGTAATGTACGCAAGTAAACATAATAAACAGTGACTTTCTTGGAAAAATCTCAATTTCCGAATTTCAAACAAAAAATAGATGCCCTTTAAGCTCTTTGATTTTCTAGAAAAATTTATGAATGGCGCATTGTTGATAACATAAACCCAACTAGAGAAAACTGCATCAATAGGTGAAGTTTTCCTTCGCTGGAAGCCTAAACATAGCCAATTGAAGATTGGAAAAGAGTAATGTACGCAAGTAAACATAAGAAAAATTTTGAACACATGTTAAAAATTTTTTTTTTAACACAAGTAAACATAATAAAACACTGACTTTCTTGAAAAGACCTCAACTTTGGAATTTCAAACAAAAACAAGATGCTCTTTAAGCTCTTTGATTTTCTAAAAAAAATTGATGACTGGCGCGTTTTTGATAACATGAACCGAACTAGAGAAAACTGGATCAATAGGTGAAGTTTTCATTTCGCTGGAAGCCTAAATATAGCCAATCGAAGATTGGGAATGAGTAATGTACGCAAGTAAACATAAAAAAAACAGTGACTTTCCTGGAAAAATCTCAATTTCCGAATTTCAAACAAAAAATAGATGCCCTTTAAGCTTTTTGATTTTCTAGAAAAAATTATGAATGGCGCTTTTTTGATAATATGAACCGAACTAGAGAAAACTGGATCAAAAGGTGAAGTTTTCATTCCGCTGGAAGCCTAAACATAGCCAATCGAAGATTGAGAATGAGTAATGTACGCAAGTAAACATAAAAATACAGTGACTTTCTTGGAAAAATCTCAATTTCCGAATTTCAAACAAAAAAAGATGCTCCTTAAGCTCTTTGAATTTTTACAATAATATTATCTTTGGCGCATTGTTGACATCATAAACCCAACTAGAGAAAACTGGATCAATATGTGAAGTTTTCATTCCGCTGGAAGCCTAAACATAGCCAATTGAAGATTGGAAAAGAGTAATGTACGCAAGTAAACATAAGAAAAACTTTAAACACAAGTAAAAAAAAAATTTTAACACAAGTAAACATAATAAAACACTGACTTTCTTGAAAATACCTCAACTTTGGAATTTCAAACAAAAAAAAAGATGCTCTTTAAGCTCTTTGATTTTCTAGAAAAATTGATGACTGGCGCATTTTTGATAACATGAACCGAACTAGAGAAAACTGGATCAATAGGTGAATTTTTCATTCCGCTGGAAGCCTAAACATAGCCAATCGAAGATTGAGAATGAGTAATGTACGCAAATAAACATAAAAAAACAGTGACTTTCTTGGAAAATTCTCAATTTCCGAATTTCAGACAAAAAATAGATGCCCTTTAAGCTTTTTGATTTTCTAGAAAAAATTATGAATGGCGCTTTTTGGATAATATGAACCAAATTAGAGAAAACTGGATCAATAGGTGAAGTTTTCATTCCGCTGGAAGCCTAAACATAGCCAATCGAAGATTGAGAATGAGTAATGTACGCAAGTAAACATAAAAAAACAGTGACTTTCTTGGAAAAATCTCAATTTCCGAATTTCAAACAAAAAAAAGATGCTCCTTAAGCTCTTTGAATTTTTACAATAATATTATGACTGGCGCATTGTTGACAATATATACCCAACTAGAGAAAACTTGATCAATAGGTGAAGTTTTCATTCCGCTGGAAGCGTAAACATAGCCAATTGCAGATTGGAAAAGAGTAATGTACGCAAGTAAACATAAAAAACACTTTGAACACATGTAAAAAAAATTTTTTTAACACAAGTAAACATAATAAATCACTGACTTTCTTGAAAAGACCTCAACTTTGGAGTTTCAAACAAAAAAAAGATGCTTTTTAAGCTCTTTGATTTTCTAGAAAAATTGATGACTGGCGCATTTTTGATAACATGAACCGAACTAGAGAAAGGTGGATCAATAGGTGAAATTTTTCTCCACTGGAGGCCTAAACATAGCCAATCGAAGAATCAAAAAAAGTAATGAACGCAAGTAAACATAAAAAAACACTGACTTTCTGGAGAAGATCTCAATTTCGAATTTCAATTAAAAGGTAGATGCCCTTTAAGCTCTTTGATTTTCTAGAAAAAATTATGAATGGCGTATTTTTGATACCATGAACCAAACTAGAGAAAGATAGATCAATAGGTGAATTTTTTAATGCGCTGGAAGCCTAAACATAGCTAATCGAAGATTGGAAAAGAGTAATGTACAAAAGTTACTTTTTGAATTTTGAATTTCTAAGCTTTTTGAATTTCTAGAAAAATTTATGATTGGCTCATTTTTGATAACATGAACCCAACTAGAGAAAACTGGATCAATAGTTGAAGTTTTTATTTCGCTGGAAAACTAAACATAGCCAATCGAAGATTGAAAAAGAATAATGTACGAAAGTAAACATAAAAAACCATTGAATTGTTTTTTAAAATCTCATTTTTCAAATTTCAAACAAAAAAAAGGTGCACTTTAGGCTCTTTGAATTTCTAGAAAAAATTTTGAAAGGCGCATTTTTGATAACATGAATCCAACTAGAGAAAAGTGGATCAATGAGTGAAGTTTTTATTCCGCTGGA